TGGGATAGAAAGTTTTTTTTTAATATTAATTTTTTTCATTATAAAATATATGATCCCTTATAATTTATAATTAAGCACTATTTTTATCATTATAATCTATATTCATTCTTGCCAAATATCAGAAAATAAAAGAAAAGATTTTTTTATCAATGTATGATACTTTCGATTTTAAAGCTTTATGTTTTATATTGCTGTATAATAACTATATATCTATAAATTATACTTTTGTATGTTTTTTTTTGTTAATATTATATATTAATGGAGTAATGAAGATATTACATAAACTTAAACTTTTATGAAATAAAAACAGTCTTCATCTTGTTGCTGCACGGTTGATTTAATTAAATGAAGCAAGAAAAATAAAGGACGGATATAAAAATTACATGCGAGAACCCTTCTGCTGCAGAACCTAAAATAATGATAAATTTAATGATTTGTGCTTAGTAGAAGAGTATATTTATATTAAAAATTCATTTTATACATAAAGAAAAGCATTAATTAATTTATAAAAAATTTTTGAGATATAAAAATATTATCCCTAATATTGTTTAACCTCTGTTTTTCATTGTATATGTAATTTGAGTTTAATATAAAATTTTTTTATATATTAAAAAAAATATTATTAATAAAAATAAAATAATGTATAAATTCAATTATTATTAGAATTTCATTATGAATACAACATTGTGCAAAAAATTTTAACAATTAATAAATTTTATTATGAATTTATATTTTTTTATCAATTCAAATATAATAAATAACAAATAATATAAGATATAGGGAAAAAATAATCAGCCCATCAAATCAATAAAAAAAAAATCTTTATTTTATTTTATGCATAGCATGCAATACAAAAATCATGATATGTACAACAAATAAACAGAGGTAAAACATTGTGCTTATATAAATTAGGCTGAATTAGTATAAAATATGAAATTTTTTGATAAATAAAGTATAATTAATTCATTATTATATTATATTATATTTCACATTACAATCATAAAAAAAATCATAGAAAAAAGAAAAATATTTCTCATTTTTAAATAATCAATATAAAATAATTTTTTTAAAATAATTTAAAATAATATAATTATAACGAAAACTATATCAAGAAAATTAGAAATTACAAAATAAATAAAATATTTAAAAGTATAATTTACATATATCTAATGTTTAGATTTTTCATAAATATTTTATAATTCATAAATTATTTATATGTGAAAAATAAAATAATAATATGTTATTTAATTTATTTCAATATTGGTCAATATTTTTAAAATTGCTTCAATATTTCAATATTGCTATTTATTTTTTATTATGTATATTATTCATTTTATTTATAATAACAATAATTATTCATTTAAACATAAAATTTAAATAAATATAAAATATTAATAAATATATAAAGATATTTACATGATTTCAAATATATTTATATTTTTTTAAAAATGTTATATAAGAATAATTACACATTTCTGCACTTTTATTAAAATTATTATATTATATAATATATTAATATTTCTTTCTTTTATATTTATTTTATATTATATATTCTATTTATTTTTAAGCTTTAATTTAATTAATTATTAAAAAAAATTATTATATAGTATTCATAAAAACCATATATATACTATTATTGATAAATCAGAAATCATTGAATTTCATATATATAAATGAAGANATATGATTTTATATATTATATAATATTAATTTTATATGTATTTTATATATATTATATAACTTTAATATTATAAATATAATATTAAAGTTGTTAGAAATATAACAAACATTAAAACATTTTCAATAATAATTTTATTTAAAAAAATATAATTTGTAAATTATTTATATTAAAATAAAAATAAAAAATTATATTTAGTTTAAAAAAAATATAAAAAAAATACCTGCTCAAACTTCCATCCATCAGACATTGTTGATACCATTTGAGTTAATTCATCTTCATGACATTGAATGACTCTATAAACATGTTTCTTTGAATCTCTTAATGGTCTAGTATCTCTTAATATAATTCTTTCTTTAACTAATCGAATAAGTTCTGTAATGTTGTAAAATTCTGCTTCTTCTAAGACACCTTCTTCTGTTAAATCTTTATTGATAACCAATTTTCCATGACGTAAGTAATTTAAAACAGGACTAAAATATGTTGGATCACGATCTATTAAATATGCTCCAGTTTCATCCTATATAATAAAATATATAAATAAATTGATTTATTTAATATAATTTTTAAAAATATATTTTTATGTAAATAAATTAAAATTCATATTATATAGGCATTATTATTATATAATTATATTAATATAATAATAATATATGTTATACATCATATTAATATATCTTGAATC